CTCTTGCCCTCCAGGACTGAAACGGGGAAATCCAAATCTAGGGGTTCCTGAGGACTGAGATGAGAAACACTGTTTTAAAAATACATAAGCAGCTTCAGATTTGAAGCTTGTATCTCCTGTGGGAGCTGCTCCTCCATGTTCACATGCGCCCACATTGCCCGGTGGACAGGTTCGGTGACGGCTACGTGGTCACCATGAAGATCAGGCCCGGCAGTGCTGGGGTGAGCCCGGACCTCCGGCCGGCTGAAGCCTTCATGGAGAGCAGCTTCCCGGGCTGCGTGCAGAGAGAGAAGCACCACAGCACGCTGCAGTACGAGGTCCCCGTCTGCTCGCTGGCCCGCATCTTCCAGCTGGTGCTGACCAACAAGGAGAAGCTCAACATCGAGGACTACTCAGTCTCCCAGACGACGCTTGACCAGGTACGATAACGTCACTGAACGGGTACCGCCAGTCATTCATCTCTCCGGATTTTCCACCTTTGAGAACCGTTCTCCATTAGGGCCAGCATGTGGCTTAGTGGATTACGACACTATGCCCATGATCAGAAGGTCATCGGTTCAGATCTCAGGGACAGCAGAATGATTTCACCACTGAGCGAGGTCCTTAACCACCAACTGCTCCTGCTTTCACAACTTTGGATAAAGTGTCCGCTCAATAATTGTTAACATGCCCCCCTCTAGTCTGTTTACTCAAAGCTATCTGTATGCGTAGGGGGTTCTTTAATTTGAGTTCTACTTTCTTTGTTTTTTTGGGTGCAAACTGCAGGTTTTTGTAAACTTCGCCAAACAGCAGCAGTTGGGAGAGGAGGATAACCTGGTGTTACACCCACGGGCAGCCGGGGGGCGCCGAGGGACAAAGATCACACCGTTCAAAGGAAAGACATCCTGAAGGGGAAGAATAGTTAGGAATAATGACTAAATGTTATCAGAGGTATAGGACCCCTGCAGAGATGGGAAAGGCCCTCAGCGAGGAAACATCTGTAACGAAAAACTACGTTTATTATTTATTTTAAACTTTTTTTTTTTTCTCTTCTCAGTCTACGTGAGTACTTGTCTGTCCTTGTTAATTGACAGCGCGAGTGTTATCGATAGCTGCGGGTGTCGCGCGACCGGCGTTTCTGTCCGCGTACTTTCGCATCAAACACCCGCGGGGTAATATTATCTAACGCCGGTAATATTGTAGCACACTTGAATAAATTAATACTCCGTGTGGCGTTTGTCCTTTTTCCTTTTATTGCAAAATCTGCAATCACATAGCCTACAAACAGTTAGCGGGTTAGCAGCGTGGATGCCCGCGTGTGAACGCTACTTTGGCTGCGTTTAGTCTGAGCCAAAATGCTGCGCCAAATAAACATGGAAGACATCCACACCAATTAACCAACCATCCATTGCCTGAAAATATCTAGTACACTAATACAAGCTAGGTTACTAACTATTCCTCCAGCCATTCACCACCGTCACTAGATGCATTTTATGCGAACGCCATTAAGCCGATTCCGCCTTTATACGGTACAAGTTTCACATACGCTTCCTTTTAAAATAAGAAAACATTACTCGCTTTCTCACTGTTTACATCTATTACGCCATTCCCCTCGCATATGCTTTTGTGGCTTCTTTGCTTACCTGCAATCACATACAAACAGTTAGCGGGTTAGCAGCGTGGATGCCCGCTTGTGAACGCTACTTTGGCTGCGGGAGTGGTGAGAGGAAAGTACTGTGCGTGAACTGCAAGTTGCGGTGGTAAATTTCTTTCCTTCAGTTCAAAGTGTGGCCAAACATAACAAGTCATCTCAAATATAAATAAAATATTATGGGGGTAGCCTGGGATAGGCATAAAACAGCCAGATCCTTACACTCTCCCCCCCTAGAAGAAATGACATCCCGACATTGATATCACCAATCCACCTTATGCTCATTGCACAGTATTGTCCTGGTGGTCCGAATAGGAGGCAGCAGTCCATATAAAAGTAACACAAGATACACTGCTGTAAGCAGTTCCACATGTGACGTCTGTCTCCTCTTAACGTCACATGGTTGCCGTGAGTGTCATTGTGCACGATAACAGTCCACAGCGGCCTCAGCCATTGGCCAGGATCTCTGTATCTTTCCTGAGAGAAAGGTACTCAGACGGAGTCCTAGTTCAGTACCATCACATAATGTATGTGGTTTGGTACATCTGTGATGGGTTCTTTCAAATGATCAGTACCATGTAACCAAATGACAGCAACATATCAACTGAACATTAACATTACACTATCCACTCATGTCAGTATCATTTCAAAGTGACAATTAACACCATTAATGCGAAAAGGGAATAAAGTGGGCTGTCCCACTTGATTATAAGTTAACATCTGTTTCAGCTTCCTATGTCGTAAAGGATACCGTCGCATTGCAGTAGTTCTCTGGACATCCAGGTCTTCTTCATCAGGCTCAGGAGACTCAGCTTCACATTCTGTCCCTGACATAACAGCACCACCATCTGTGACGTCTCCTGGGGGGTCAGCGTCCCCATTTCCTGGAACCTCAATGTCTCTCTCCCCTCTGTTATGCTGTTGGCAGACGACATCTACACCCTCCCCTGCCTCAACAACCGCTGCTTCTTCCTTGGGGTAAAATGGAGGCGCCTCAGCTCTTAGTTGATGCTTCACCCAGTCTTCGTGTTATTGGCCGAATGGCGTATTCTCCGTCAGAGTCCTCCGAGCAATTTTCCGATTCTGAATGCACTTGATGGTGGTGGTCCCTTCTGCTGGGCTTGTGCTTAGCTTTTTCTGGTGTAAGGTCTTTCCCCACCTTTAAAAAGTCACAGGGTAGCAGGAGATTTCTGTGGACAACACGAAGTCGACCCTTTCCGTTCTCCGGCTTAAGTTCGTACACAGGGCTGTCTCGATGTTTCTGTTGGGTTACTACATACACTTGATTTTCCCAAAAAGATCTCAATTTCCCCGGACCTCCTTTTTCATTCAGATTTTGGATTAGAACTCTGCTTCCAATGCATAACTCAGCGCCATGTACTTTCCTATCATACTGGGCTTTCCCCCGTTCTTATCTTCCTTTCCCAGGCCAAACATGAGATCAATGGGAAGCCTTGGGTTGCGGCCAAACAACAGGAAGTAAGGGGCGAAGCCTGTTGATTCACTTTGCGTGCAATTGTATGCATGTACTACTTTCACCAAAGAGGACTTCCAATCAGTCTTGTGTTCTGTTGGCAATGTTCTCAGCATGGCCAGGAGTGTCCTGTTAAAGTGTTCCACCTGCCCATTTCCCTGGGGGTGCTACAGTGTTGTTCTGGACCCTCTCACCCCACTATACTCCTCAAGTTTCGCAAACAACTTATTGCTGAACTCCTTGCCCTGGTCATGGTGAAGACTAGGGCTGCACGATATATCGTTTCAGCATTGTCATTGCGATGTACGCACGTGCAATAGTCACAACGCAGGATGTGCGATGTTAAGTAACGCAAATGAAATTAAGCAGCGTGGACAACGTTTTTGGTGTTTTTGCTGAACTAACAAATGTCACACTGTTCTTATTCTTAAACAGTCCACAAAAGTCTGTCTAATATAATTTAGATCAATTTAAAGGTTTTTGGATACGGAGCCAACACGCAGCTTTGCACCGGCAGCTAACAAACATGTCGATCACAGAACGAACCACCAAGCACAAACATTCTAACCATTTAACCCAGCGTTATTTTGTCACTCATGTTAACTCTCATATGCGATAAGCTTCCATAGTTTAATGCTCATGCTATGTTTAGTACTGATTAAGTTATCATTACTATTATATTTGGGCTAAATCAGGTCAATCTTTCTAGAATGATTAATTATACCAATACAGCAGCGGTCACTAACAGGTGGACTGCGCCGGACCCGGACCCAGAAGCTGTCCCATACGGACCTGGACCGATATAGCCCTTTGTCTGCGCTAATGTGCCATTAGTGTTAATAACAGCAGCAAAGCGACCAAAAAGCCGTAATGTTCCTAACAGAGTGACTGCTTAATAACAGCAGCAAAGCAAACACACGCAGCCAAAAATCCGTAATGTTCCTAAGAGAGTGGCTGGTCTATCCTGAAATCATATAGCTGAAAAGTTTTCAAATACAGTATGTATTATATAACATGTTGGATAAATAGACATAGTTTACTGGTGATTTCATGTTCGTGGAAGTTTCCGCTTTTTAACATATGTATAAAGTAATATCTGTTATATAGATCAACTCAGGTGAAATAAAAATTGTACGTTTTCAGCATCTGGCACGCCACTCATGATTTCAGACTTGCGCAGGAAATCTTACGGCAAATCTATATTATTCCATTATAAACCTAAAATGAGCTACGTCAAAAGTGTGTTTACATGGCTAAATACAAAAGCATACTATTTACAAGGTAAGAACTGTTACATGTGTTTGCAGACATCTCGAATTGAATTGCACTGAATTAATTTGATTTGACAGTCAGGTACTGATTACATGCAATGTTGATACAACTGATATACTACTTAAATATACATCACACTAAATAGTTAGACATTATGATCTTCCGGACCTTTGCTTCAAGAAATTTTCTCTAACTGGACCTCTTTAAATTTTAGTTGAATACCCCTGCAATAGAGCTATTGAACTAATTAGAATTTTTTAAATCCCAATATCGCAATATATATCGCAGAAAGAATAAATATTGCAATGTGATTTATTCCCAATATCGTGCAGCCCTAGTCTGAAAACTTAATTCATTGTAATGTTTCTTTTTTATCTTTAAGAAATTTGCAAGTTTCTGAAATACTGTTTTTGCTTTATTATTATAGAGTATTGAGTGTCGATTGATGACAAAAATGTTTAAACAATTTCAGCATAAGGCTGCAACATAAAATTTGAAAAATGTAAAAGGTTCCAAATACTTTCTGTATCCACTATAAACAAGAAAATGATAAAAAAATAAAATAAAATTGAAGTAAGACTCAGGGCTATCCCTTTATAAATCATGATTTATAAAACTTAACTATGACAGAGCCACCGAAAACCTTACAAAGAATACAAAACAGACCATCTGATAAATCATCATAGTATAGAACAACACACTGAACATGTACAAGCTAAAATACAAAAAGCAGATTTTAGAACTAATCATTTCTTGGTCTTATGACACAGAATTTAGAGATATAAGAAGTATAGAGCATATTTTCCTTACTCAACATGGTAATTAAGACGATTAGAAGACTCCAACACCAAAGCAAAATCACACAGGCTGACACAGAACTAAATCATGGAGTCACGAAAATTAAAATAACTGCCCCTGAACACCCCCCCCCCAACCCTTCAATATCCACTGAGTCTGGTATCTGATACTTTAAAGCACCAGAAATTTGCTTCTTTACAGCGCATTGGAAATTTCTTCAGAAAAATTACACCACTTTACAGAGCCACATATAGTAAGCCAAAGCTTCATTCATGACGTATGGTACACAAACCATGCAGAGGAAAACAAAACACATTCTCTGCTAACCTGTCCAGCTTAATTAGTCTTTTACCTTTCTCCAAATTATATCACAAAATTAGCTTTATAGGAAGTGGAGAATTATAAAGAAAAAAGGCCCAACACAGAAATAGTTTGATTGAAAAGTTTATAGTTAATATTTAACACAACTTACTATGAACAGGCTTGTGATTTAATTATGTATTCACATAATTAAAATATCTGAAGCACAAAAGTGACAATTGGCAAATACAAAAAAAAGAGGAAAACTTTATTGGGAGCACAGGTGAGGTCAAGGTGCTTGAAGCAGTGCAGGATTGAGGGGTTCACACAAGTCAAGAGCCACAAGAAAAACATATCTTGCGGCAAACTGGCCTTTGGTGACAAAGCTGGTTAAGCCTCCTGAGGTATAGCAATTTTCTTCTGGAAGAGAAATTCCTGTAATACCTTGACACACAGTTTGAGTGAGCTGTGATATCGGGTGACCGCACCGGCAGCGTGTATTCACTCAATGCTTCCTGTTGTATCATTAAGAGAATG